GGTTACCCTCAACATTTGCGTCGTTTGACAAAAGTCAAGTAGCGTCAAGTTCCGGGCCACCAATGGTGTCTCGGATAAGCTCCACAGGACTACTTGCTTCTGGTACTAGGTGGGCTGTTGGAAACTTTGGTATAGGAATTTGAACATGTCTTCGTAGAAAGTTTAAAATTTAGAAATAACATTTACAAACCTCATTGCTTTATGGTATTGAGGCACCCGCAGGTGCATCTTGCGCAATTATCGGGCTTAGGGCGGGTGACCATGCATGGTCACTCTGATATTTTGCCATTGAGTTCTTCAAAAGCTATATAGAAGTGCGACGATCCTTAATTAGATACTGAAATGGCCCGGCTTCACGTTACATGCGGACCCAGCACAGAAGTTTCCATTTCTCCCTGTCACTCGCTTCAGACATGCGCAATCTTCTTTGCAGACGTCAATCTCATTCTCTTGAATGTCAGGGAATTCAATTTTTTTGCTTTTGCTTACGATTACAAGGCTCACTATTTTTAACTGACAAAGATAAACTCGCCGCTTCTCTGTTTTCTTTGATACCTATGAATTCCAATTTTCTCAACTTAACATTTCGGTCATGATTACAGTGAAAAAAATGAGTTGCTGTGTTACACAAGAATATCTAACGTTGTTTAGAATGTTTGGGCAAATTTTTAGCATTATTGATGCAAAACTCCACAACAGTACTCAGTTGCGAGCAACTGCGTTTAATTCTTACTTTATTAGATACTGAAATGGCCCGGCTTCACGTTACGTGAGGATCCAGCACAGAGGTTTCCATTTCTTCCTGTCCCCCGCTTCAGACATGCGTGATCTTCTTTGCTGACGTCGGTGGCTACGACCACGAGTTCCAGGCGCGGAAATCGTATTCGGCTGCTTTCTCAGCTGGTCCATCCGTTCCACGAACACTTCTGCCCATCTCGTTGGAGGTCTGCCTCGGGTACTTTTGCTTTGCGACGAATCCACTCCAATGTTCTTGATGTGCATCTGTCGTCTGTTCTTCTCATAATGTGAACGGCGTCAATGCTTCGCCTTCCTGTTCCGCTGGGTCATGAAGACGGGGCATTCTTCTCATATCCGTACTGCGAAGTCCGACAAGATGTGGTTTGTGTTGAGCCATCTTTAGAAGACTGCGCTCTAACGACAAAAAACCTCCGCAAATATCGAGAGAATTTGAAATTAGCATTTAAGAGCTACGTAACTTCATTTCCCATATAGCCAATTCGACCAACGTCCTTTCTTTGTAATTCAGCTGACTTTTTGAGCTTTGTTTCGATTTCAAATCATAGTATCTCATGCAGTTATGTCCCTGCATCTCCAATATTTTCCAAAGGGAGCAGCTCTACTTCCGTGTACTCTGAAGTCAATTGCCAGACAAAGACATATTAGCAACAATTGAGTGGCACGAACGCAAAGACATAGTTCACGCCGGGTGCGATGGCACCACTGCGTGCGGGATGGCCTTTTAGTTATATGCATCAAGTAAAAGTACTTTATACTTATCAAAAAGAAAGCAGAACAGAATACAGAAGCATTAAGTATTTTAAATTGGAGATTTGTGGATAAAACTAGTTCGCGCATAGTGATGCGCATCATGAACCTTACCGATAGAAAAAAAACTACGTTCGCGCCTCTGGTTCTTGCAATACGTCAAAGGCAACCTTAAAAGAAGCCCAAAAATGCTAGACGTGCACCCCTGTTTACAAAATAATGCAGAGGTTGTTTTTTTTCGTAGAATCAAACGCCTTTTGGACATGACAAAAACGACACGTTTGCCGGACGACACGCCATGGAGACTGTCTCATGCTCTGCACCTACAATTGGTTTTGTCGTCCATCCATCTGTCGTCTATCTTGTCATTTTGTATGAGATCCTACCACCTCGACTAACTATCCTACGACTACGACCTCCACATCAGAAGACCATCAGCATCATCAACTACTACTCCCCAACATCAGCAGCAACGAATCAGAACTAGATGATTTTTACTAAAATGTGGAAGAGGTCGTCTGCGAGAAATCCTTCTATAAGTTTGTTTTGGGTGAATTCAACGCGAAAATCGGAATGCCACTATAAGAGGAACATAGGATTGGGAAGCTTGGATATGGGCTCCGGAACAAAAACGACAACCGTCTTGTTCGGCTTCTCCCTGCCGCACAACTTTTCCATGGAACTTCCATCTTTATGAAGAAAGAACATCGCCGGTGGACGGGAGCCCAGCGAAACGACTCACGTGGAGATCGACCACATTCTTACCACCAAAAATGGAGCTTGCTTCATGTCTCAGTAGTTTCATCCTTCTGCAGTGGCCCCGGCCGCCGCCTCCTTTGAGCGATTCGTCAAAAGCTGGAAAAGAAAGTCTGTCATAGCGTCGCGAAAAGGAAGGAAGTCGCTTATGACAGTGACAGGCTGGGAGAGCTTACATCAAGCTGTGACTGGCTCATCGAGGAGGACCCAACATACGACTACGACCGGCTTCTGAGAGGATTGCGAGCCTGCGGAGAGTGCGCCTCAGTGACTTCCGAGAAGAACGTGGAACACATTTCGAACACCACCAAGGAAACGCTCGAAAGAAGAAGATTTCTGAGGCAGGATCCAAATGCAACCCATCTCGAGCGACTGATAGCCAACGCCAGTGCAGAACAGCTTTACAGGAGGATCAGGAAGTACAGGCAAGCCAAGATACTGAAAGCAGCCGAAGAAAGACGAAGTTTCAAGAAGTGCCGAAGAGACCTCTGTGAATATCACGTACCGCTGGGTGCACTATTAAACGAAGACGGGACTCCGACTTCTTCCCGATACAAGTTGGAATCTATCGCGAAGAACTTCTATACCAACCTCTTCCGCCCATCAACACCCGTGCCGATGCCCGTTGTTCCCACTAGAGAAGTACCACCACGAATTCTACCTGCTGAAGTGCGCACAGCGATTCAGACCATGAAGACGTCCACGGCTCCAGGACCAGACCATCTTTCCGTCGAATTTCTGTGAGCTGGAGGACAACGTCTACACGAGATTCTCGCGTCGCACCTGACATCTTACCTTCAGAAGGAGAGGATCCCCGACCAGTGGAGAATATCAAGAACCGTCCTTCTCTTCGAGAAGGGTGAACGAGAGGATCTTCAGAACTACCGTTCAATATGCCTGCTAAATGTGCTGTACAAGCTTTTCACGAAGATTATCCTCGCTCGCATATTCTAGGACACTGGATGAAGTCCCATCCCAAGAACAAGCTGGATTTCGCAAAGGATTCAGCTGCAGCCCTCGATTTCGAGGGTCATAGAATTCTGCCGAGAGTATCGACTGCCTTTCATCCTAACCTCGTCGACTATGAGAAAGCCTTCGACAGCGTCGAGATCAACGCCATTCTGTCAGCGTCAGTCAATCTGGAAGTAGACCCAGCTTACGTGGGGGTTGTTGTACAGTCCTTTAGCCGACTGCTAAAAGACTGTACAACGACAATGCAGCTGTTCCATCGCTCCCTGTTCAATCCAGCTGGGAAGGGAGTCCGCCAAAGCGCCAACAGTTTCGCCAAAGCTGTTCACCGCGACTGCAGTAAGTCTAAAGCCACTGGAATGCAAACGAGTAGCATACGAGTTGATGGCAGTTTCCTGTCAAACCGTCGTTTTGCGGATGACATCGTTCTCTTTTTGGGCAGTGTCAAATATTGAAGCAGAGACGATGCTGAAGGAACTAGAAGTAGGGAAGAAGATCGGATTGCGAATGAGTCGAAAGAAGACTCAGTTCGTGAAGAGCGCGATGCGGGAATAGAATTGGAAGGTACCTCTATAAAGGAGTCGCTTTTTACATTGTATCGCGGACGTTCGAATGATGTATGACTTGAGGGAAGGACTTAACAGGAGAACAGGAGCAGAAGAGCCTGGGCCGCCTTCGGGCCTCTGTAGGAGACCACCGACCAACTAATGGACCCGGAACTTCGTCCCACCTGTTTGACTCAACCGTTCTCCCGGCGCTCTGTTGCGCAGCTGAGACTGGGGTGACACCGTAGCCACGTCGAAAGCTCTAAGGAACATCCACAGAGCGCTAGAGCGCAGTCTTCTGAAGATGGCCCAACACAAACCACATCTTGTCGGACTTCGCAGTAGGATATGAGGAGAATGCCCGTCTTTGTGGCCCAGCGGATTACGAAAGCAAAGCATTGATGCCGTTCACATTATGAGAAGAACAAACGACAGATGGACATCAAGAACATTGGAGTGGATTCGTCGCAAAGCAAAAGTACCCGAGGCAGACCTTCAACGAGATGGGCAGAAGTCTTCGTGGAACGGATGGACCAGCTGAGAAAGCAGCCGAATACGATTTCCGCGCCTGAAATTCGTGGTCGTAGCCACCGACGTCAGCAAAGAAGATCATGCATGTCTGAAGCGGGGGACAGGAAGAAATGGAAACCTCTGTGCTGGATCCTCACGTAACGTGAAGCCGGGCCATTTCAGTATCTAATAAAGTAAGAATTGAACGCAGTTGCGAGCAACTGCGTACTGCGATGGATAAAGTTGATTTATAAGTTTTGCATCAAAAATTCTATCTTTCACTGTAAGCATGACCGAAATGTTAAGTTGAGAAAATTGGAATTCATAGGTATCAAAGAAAGCAGAGAACGCGACGAGTTTACCTCAGTTAAAAACAGTGAGCCTTGTAATTGTAAGCAAAAGCAAAAAAATCCAATTTCCTGACATTCTAGAGAATGAGATTTGGAAAATTACTTTAGGTGTTACTCCTAACCATTTCGTAGTTGCCTGATGTGTCAACATGGATTTTTGCTTCAAGCACTACTATGAGGCGCAATATTCTCTCCCTATATGTCGAACTGAGCTAATAAAGTTGCAAGATTTACGGACCACCCTAAATGCATGTCAGTTGAAAGCCATTTTGCTTACAGTTCGATTCAACAGTGAAAATTCACATTAACAGACCTTCCCGGTAAGTGATTCAGACTTCTTGCAGCACGAATGCAAAATGCTTACCTCGATGACGAATTGGCTTTCTGTTTGGAGCGTTGCCATCAAGTCTGCTACAAATATTTTTTCAGAGTGTAGCTGAAATACCCGTCAAAGTAGCTAAACGGTGATTGTGGCATGACTCTGATATCATGTATGCTCAATAATGTCTACATCACTCACTTTTTCATATTTATAAACATCAATTGATGCAACAAATCTCCTCGCAAATGAACGCATGTTTCTGTATGAGAAAGACCATTTGAGAGTGTTTCCTTTCACACTAAATTTTCCTTCTATTCCGTTCTCCTGTAAATAAGGAGAGTGTGTCTTTGACATTAAAACATGATAACGATATGCAAGATTTAGGTTACACTACATGTCAATGGCTTCATAGAGGATCACTAAAAATGCAAAATTTTCTCTAATAGGCTATCGCGCGAGCTGTGAGCAACACTTGCTTCAATGTTACCAACTATGCGGGGGTTCAAAGGACTGTTCGTGCATAGCGCAGATGATATATGTTTACAAATGGTGATTAGCATTGCTGTTAATTTCGCTCAAAAAATCGAAACTTCATCTTACATCAAGTTTGCAGAACTAATTAAGCGAAATTAGTAAAAGTAGAAAAAGGGTATTTGTAGAGAATATTGTTCTATTTTTTAGAGAAGCCTGCGCGCAAAATTTCGTCAGTCAAATTGGACGTCAAAATTTTGATTTTTGCGCTTCAACATGGCCGTCCCACTTCAAGGCCTATAGTGCCCCTCGAGTCGTGACGACTCGCTCGGAGCGCGGCAGATGCCCGACCATTGCCTTCTTGCTGCGCCCCATGATAAGGAATAGGCGACGTGACCGGGGCATGTGACCGGCGTAACGCCGCAGCAACGCGGTCGGCACGGCAGCGTGCCCGTCATGCAGACATCAGGAAAATAGTGTGTCTTGGGTGGAGACGCAGGAAGGTGGTGGTGCCGACACATGACTAGCAGTCGAGTAAGTACGGGGGTTGTGCTGCCGCCCGCTGTTCGTAGATGCACGCAAAGGATCTTGTACCCTAAATGAAGACATCTCACTCCCTTAATTTCTGATTCCACTTCGTCTTCGTTGTTCGTTCTATTTGACCTTGAGCCGTTTGTTTTTCACTTTTGCTTTCGTAATCGGGACAATGCTCTTCGTTGCAGGTGGTGCCGCTAGGGGAAGATCGACGAGTCAAGAATTTCAATTTTTTTCGATTTTTTTCGAACTGCGAGTTTCGAAAAAGAAGTGCTTCTGTTATGTCAATGATAATCTGCCTTCTAACTACGTTTTTTAGATCAGGTCAATGTTCTTGAAGCTCAAACCGTACGTTTAACTGCGACACAAGAATGTAAATGTCTGTTTCTGTACCAAAAGGATGTAGCCGACAATAATGTGTTTTTCCTTATATGTCGGCAATGACAAGTGGTAAGCTGCAAACACAGGTTATAATAAGTACTGTCTTCCGGGCAAGTTTGTGCTGATTTCGATAGTTTTGGTATCAAGCAATCACGATATCAGCTTTAGGGCCATACTTTTAGCTTTGACACATTGTCACGACGTCAAGGACGGACGTCAAAAACGCAGTCAAAAAGACTGCTCTCTACAATAGCATTACCAAAAACCACGCATGCAGTATGACGAAAGGATCATTCCTTGGCAGTAACTGACAGTGTTGTGACTTTACGTTCCCTGTTATTGGAAGTCAAAGCCCAAGTTCGTGAGCGAGAACCATCTTTTGTGGTAATTTCGAATAAATACAAAGCAAGCCATGAGGATGACGTTTAACTCATTTTGATTATACGTAAGAAATACAGATGCTAAACTTATCCAACTCTCGTAAGTAATTACACTTCAAAAGTGAATAGGTTCTAGTGACTTACGCAAGCAAAAGTAATACAGGGAATCGTGAATTTATTTGTAGGTTTTCAGTTGCTCAGCATCAAGAAGATAAAATATGCTCCACAGTAGCCTGCTTACCAAAAAAAAAGTTCCATCAAGAAATCTACACATTCAAAAAAAAAGTTACGGGATAAATTTGTCATGTATATCATCTCTATTATACCTGCTGTCACTGTTATCTCCAGTATGAAAAATGCGTCTAGATAAGCAGGCCATCATTCACGCAAAAAGCGCTTGGTTTCCTTGTGATTTTTCTGCAAAGTGAGTCCTTTCACCTTGAGCTCACTTTTGCCGCGATGAAACTTATAGGGAGTGCGCAATAAATCGACGGGATTCCCGCGCGGAAGCAAGATTTGCATCGGGGCATGGTGCGCGCTCTTCGCACCATTTGTATAACTATAGGTACGAGTAGGCAATTTTCTTTGGAAAGTTGGAATTTACTAAGAGGCTGGATTTGATATGTATTTATTTATGGTTCGTTTTTATCTTGATTAGTTCTGTTCTTTTTTATGTAGCGCTGTAGCGTGTATTTGTGCAATTTTCATTTTCAGCCGGGTGCAGCGTGGTGACCCGGGTCATGCATCCGCTTGCATGGGGGCGCAGCGTGTGGTGACCCGAGCCATGCATCCGCTTCCACGTAGGGTAATATGCGAAATGCACAAATGCCCGCTCTTTTTTTTTTTTCAAGAAATCAAAGAAGGAGCATTTGAGAAGATTGTTAAGCAATCGATTCCACATTGGAGTCGAAATGAAAGACGGAGGCAAAACCAGTCTAGCTAAAGCAGTCTTCGAAATCATCATAGAAGAAACGCTAAAGCGAAAAAAAAACACTCTTGGAACTCAGCTCAACACGTAGAAGCAATGCGAATCGAAGGAAACTCAAAGCTTGGGCACAATCAGGACACGTCCTGCTTCAGTGCAGATTATTGATGTCGATTAGCCCAGATAAAACGGGCCTGGAGAGGGCGAAAGAGCACATGCGAGACATATTGTTTAGAAAAAAAAGGTAATGAAAGTTATATACTGAAGATCACAGTTCTTGGTTTTTTTTGCAAATACAGGAGCGCAACCGGAGGCGGCTGCGACTTCAGTCTGTAACGAAGGTTCGCTAAAGCGTCGGTTTCTTTGACTGAAGCCGAGATTAAGCTGGCCCGGTGTTTTGGGAAAGAGGCGGTGATGTGTGGCTTCGGTCACATGGAGACTTTTGAAGATAGAATAAGTTACTATTGATACGATGAGTTCTATGCATTATTTATACTCCAGGGGTGTGATAGCGATTCCATGGATTCGACGGAGGGGATAATCTACCAAATTAGACGAAATATTCATTGTTTCAGAATTCAACTTTCATGCAAGGTCAAGAAACGCGTTGCCCTGTGTGCATTTACAAGTGAATAGACTTCTTCCAAAGCAAAGATCAAACAAGAGACATAAAATACTTCCAAACATAGGTTTTGTATCAAATAAAATTGTGACTTCAAAGATTGTGAACTTAAACAATTTGCAATAAAGTATGTTGTTATCTTTTCATTGTTATCTAAAAATTGGTGAGCATGAGGAGGGGGAGGGTAAAAAATAAGGTGGGGGGGGGGGGAGTTCGTATCCGATGGTCGTGTACCGTACCCCCACGTAACCCTGGTTGTGACGACTTTGGGGGGATTACTACGGGACCAAGCTTCTGCAGTAAAAACGGAGAGCTTGGGTTTTGGTCAATACGAAGAACACGATATTGTAGAGAACACGAAGCGGGAGGGGATTGAGGACAGCATCTCACCAAAATTTGAACTCAAAAATTTTGCAAACGGCAAGCCTCTCTTCTGAAACCTCCAACGAGCTCGAAAACGCACAAAAATATCGCAAACTCCGTCATTGAGGGCGCCGTCGAATTATTTGAACGTTGTTCATCTACGTTAGTTTGACCGCAGGGTCAGACAAAAAGGATGGTCGAGAGAAAATTCGGCTGCGGCCTTGTAAGAGTAAGATTTACAAAGATGAGCTAAACGCAAAAAGCTCAAGCAATTGAGGATATATGTAAAAATTTTTCAATCGGTTAAGATTCTTTTCAATTCTTCCTCTTCCGGAGGAGTAGATTCTTTCAGCTTTTGGCTTCAAATTTCGCGTGGATCAAGATTAGTGCAAATGAATATATCTTGCAGAGCTAAGTTTGCTCTATCAATCGTTCCGAAAGTTTCTTTCCTTTCTCTCAACCTATTATAACAACTCGTGAAATGAAGGTAGACAAATGTTTCCGAATCATTTGACTCAGCTTTTCTTCCTCTTTATAGAAGTCATGGACTTGTGCTGGTTATCTTTGTAGTTACTGAAATAAATGCCGATATTTTGAACTCATGGATTATATCTTAAAATCTCCCTTCTAAACATCTAAAAGCTTTGTTAACAGTTAGACGGCAAGTGCAATGTGCAATGCGGCGCAGATTTTTTGTGACCTATGGCTGGCTCTCAGAATTTTTAGAATTATATATCTGATGCTATCAAATTCCACTTCTCGTCATCTTAAAACTCATGGAACATCAAAAGATGCACAACTAAGTTGCCATTCGATTCAGATTTTTATTCTCTTTCTGGTAACCTTTATTTCTTCCCAATTCGTGGAGTGGTTGGCAATAAAGTCATTATAATTCGTGATTTAACCTGCCCCAAGCTGACTGCATCCGTAATGCAAAATTTGATATTTCAAAACGATGAATGCTCTATTGCTTTGTAAATCTAGCGTTCATTTTAGATTTTTGAAAGCTCCAAGTTCCGAAAGATTTTTGGCGTTTGGAGCGTTTCTGTATTTCGACCCCGCAAAAGTAGTGACTTCTAAGCAAGTATTCCTAAAAAAACTGAGAAGCTGATTGGAGACGTCAAAAAATCATATTGCATTGCACTTTGTTTGCGCTTTCTGAATGCTATCAAAGCTTTTTCAAAAGTTTAGAATGAATTTTTTGAAAAATTGCCAAGGCTGGACATGGCAAAAACCATGATTTCAAAATTTCGGCGATTATTGCAGTGATTACAAAAATAAAGCGCAAGAACAGAAGAAGAAGAAGAAAAGCTGCGTCGGATAGTGTTTGAAATGTTTGTCTAACTCTTATCTTACGAGTTTTATGATGTTGAAAAAACGAAAAGAACTCTTGAAACAACCTATTGAAGGTTATCTAGGATATATGAGATATATCCTATATCCTAGGGCTGTTTATGGCTGTTGATGCGAGACTTAATAGATATGATAATCGAAACTGATAATTTAATACATATTTTCGCAATTTTTTAAGCCGTGATTGCATGAATATCCTGTCCTCTCGGAAGTTACATGCAATTATTGAATTATAATGCCACTCACATAGTTGACAATCTCTTGAGGTATTTCATTCCTTGTTCTCGAAGGAGTGGTAAATCTGATCCATGAGCTCTCAGCTTTTGCTTTGAGAGAAGAACATACGGCGCGAACATAGTTTATGGCTAAAGAATTGCTATAACTTGAGAAATAACTTTCACCCAAACTAAGCATAGGGAAAAATCAAATAGGACAAAAGTGTTTTAAATTTATGTACAGTATTCTGATTGTTGCTTCAAAGTTCAAATCACTTTCATCGTGAGCAAGTTATACTTCTTGTAGTGACTTTATGCAAAGGCGAGAGTGCGATACTCAAATTGAATATATTTCTGGCTACCGCATCTCAAGACTATTTTTGTTGTAAGGTCGTTTTTGTTGCACAAGTTGTTGTACTGTGATTCTCAGATAACCGCCGGGGGCAGGCAGCCATGCGAATTTTGAGCAAGCGCGCACCGGAAAAATAGTTCGCTGATTTTTTGCGGCCCGCTTGCAGAAATTTGGAAGAAAGTTGGCAAAATTAAAGACAAATGCTTGAAGAACAATTGCGGTTTCTTTATGGATTAGCTGCGGCGCAGTGGCCGCATTCTCGCGGAATTTCCGCTAGAATATGCAAAAATCTCGAGGGCCGCACGTTCCTTTGTGGAGGACCGCGCAACCCCCAGGTACTTTCCGCTGAGAGAAAGTACCTCAAACTTGAGTAATTAAACCAACGGTGACACCTCTGCCACACAGAGTCTTACCTGCGCTCGACGTACGCCCGAAAATACCTAAAAAGAGTCCGAGCGCTTGCTGAAAGTTTGGCCAGCGCTCGTTGGAAGATATTATTTGACGAGCGCTCGCAGAAAATTCTGTATTGCTGCCCGCTGGCAGAACGCGGAAGTACCGCCCGCTGAAGGTTTGGCCACGCCCCAAAATTCTGCTGACCGCCTGCAGAAAAGCGCGAGTTTTTACCGCCTGCCCCCGGCGATTATCTGAGTTATTGTAATTACCGCAGTACGATAAATGACCAAATAAGATTTGAACGGTAGTAAACTCCTGTTCAGTGTGTCTTGGGTGGGCGGGCCTGAACCTAGGACGCCTCAGTTCAGCATCCGGTGAGCTATTGATCTAAATGCTGATTGCTTTCTAGATATAAAAGTCTTAAGCGTTTTTGACGAAACTTTCTGAGCAGGTTTAGTTGAGCGGTAAGTGAATGGGATTCAACGCAGGAAGGCATTGTTTCAGGGCCGGTTAGGGCGGGTTTTTGCGATCTTCGGGCTTTGATAGCGGCCATTAACGAAGAAATCGATGGTGACCGCTAGCAAGGATATGGTTTAGCAAATGAATGGATAAAACCAGTACAATTGACAAAGATGTTATTTAACGGAATAAAAGAACTAGATGCGTTCTTTTTTTTCATGCAGCTTTCAAAAAACCCTAAGCGAACTTTGTGAAAAAAAACTTGTTTCCTTCTTTCCGTCGCCTAATCAGCAGTTCATCGATCCTTAACGATCTGAGCCTCGGAATTGTGCAGTATTCTGAGATTTGCACTCAAGGCCACGACAACTAAGTTCCGTAGGATACTTACGAACAACTTACGGAAATATTGTCTGACTCTTTTCTTTTGAAACTATCTCCCTTGGTTCACCTTAGGATCTACCCTTGACTAAGTGGCATTACGTTGAGCTGACCATGAAATTTTACGGCCATTGTTCTGATGTTCAACTGACTATCCGTTTAGAAGCAACTGAAGGCGGGCGGATTTGAATTAACCTAAGAAGTTTCTCTGAGTGGCTCATCTCAGGTCAACGATGAATGAGGGTTTACTACGGGTCAAACCTCAATTTACCATATATCTACTGTGACATTACAACTTTAGCAACAATACCAACAAGTCGAAAGATTTTTAGCTATCATCCTCGCGTGTGTTTCTGGATTTTTAGAGGAAGGATTGGAGTAAGAAATAGCGGAATGTGCTGTCTGTTCAATAATAACAGACCATAGACTATCACCTATGAACTGGAAAACTAATGAGAAACAGCGTTCTATTTAGATTCCAGTTACAAAAACAAAAAATAACTAGTTTACCTCAGTGAAATCTGACCATTGACGTGTCAACATGTGACAAAGCAGATACCGATATCAGTCAAATAACTGAAGCCTAATCATATTCATCTTCATGACCTAACAATGCATAGGGCCTATCTTTAGCACTATCTTCTGTAGATGAACAAAAAAGTAACCAGTTTATTTTTTGATTTGTGTACGAAATATAAGCTGTGTTAAATCTGAATTTACAGTATCTCAATGTAAAAGTGCACAATCAATGTAAACGAGATTTCCAAAACTGGCAGATTGTCGTTACGGGCATTGAGCAACGCACCTTCACTTAGACACACCATGCTTGGTCCACCTGTTCCCCTGAACCATTTCGTCCACTTTGCTATTCCAAAACAATGAGCTGACCAATAGCGAAGTGGATGGAGTGATTCAAGTGGATCAATTCTGGCGTTTGCCTCAAAGTTGATCATTCATTACTTTTTTAATGCTGGCTTCAAATAGATTGATTCTGGCCTGTGCTTTGAAGTACATCATTTTCATCGCTCTTATTAATGCTGGCTTATCCAGATCATGCTCAGCGTTTTTATGAATAACAACAAAGCAAGTACAGAAATTTTTGAAAAGGCTGACCGCTCAATATCTCTAGCAGCAGCCGTTCGCATTTACTCGTGTACTAGCTTGCTTACCCGGCTCCGCCCGGCCCTGTCAAAACACTATGTTAAAGAACACTATTCCTATTCCTGTACGAACCTTTCCCTGTGCCCACGCCTACATGCCAACACTATTCCCGCTGTTTTAGTAAACAGCATGCTCGATTATCCCCCTGTGCCAACTCCCAGCCCCGTAGCTAAAACATTGCAAAAAATTGATAAAATCGATATCGATCGATGACGAAAAGTAGCCTATGACACCCGCCGGAGCCCGAAGTGTATGTGTGCCAAGTTTGGTCCGAATCGGTTCAGAAATAAAAATTTCTATTCGGAACATGCGTACATACAGACAAACAGACATTCAGCTTTATATATAAAATAGCTGCAGCACAGGCTCTTAAAATTTCTTTCTTATAGTCTAGTTCAGGGTGCATATGATGCATGTTCGAGTGTAATCAACACACTCAAATAATCTTTTGCTGTTAGCAGGCAGATCGTGATCTGCAAAAAACATAAGGCGGAAGCGATTAACTGTTTTGAGTATCCTACAGCACTTGTATGGTTATGTGCACAAAGATGGGCCAATGGTCCCATCAAAATTTTCTAGCATACATACAGAATGATACGTAGATTGTAGGCTGTCTCAATGTGAGTGTTAAAGCTTTAGCAGCTCGGTCGTCGCGCTTTGCTTAGGTCTTTTGCTGCATCCGCCGAGGTACCTGAGGCCATCTGATTATGCTTGAAGCAGAGACCGGATACTAAAGAGCGCGAGAAAATTTTCGAAAGTATACGTTTGCAATGCGGCGCAAAGCTGATCAAGGCGCCGAGCGGGAGCCAAGCCGCCAGAGCTTCGATATTCGCACTCAGACAACTTATATATATATATATATATATATATACATATATATATATATATGTGTGTATTTTTATCCTCGCAAGTGTCCTGCTTGAGCAGGGTATGCTTTGATTGTCAGATGTCTCCATGTCATCCTGTCTGAGGCAGAGTCTGTTCACATCCACCTCATCTTGGATCTACCTCTGAGTCTTTTGCCTGGTGCCTCGATAGCCAAGGCCAACTTTGTGATGTGACTTTCATCCACATTCTCTTACATTCTTGTATATAAAATAACCATCTGTATGTAAGGCGCTTTTGAAGCAAAAAAACACATTTTTATTGAGTGTATTTAAGAGCTATTGTTCATGTTTCTATGTAGTACCCATCTCAGGGTAATTTTTATGCACTCTTGCTATTGAAGTTAAGCTGTTAATAAGTGCTGCTGTCCCTCCCCGTGTAACCTTTTCCATACCGTATTTGAGAGCAACCGCTTCGCGAGAACGTAGTGCAATGTAAACTTCCGCAGTAGGTGTGCATGTATGGGTTGTTTCATACTGTCGCTGCAGCAACGGCAGTCAATCGATCGATATCTTTTGCCCGTCCCCATATGACTGCAGTAGCTGCATCGACTGCAGTATGAAACAACCCTATGAGGACGTATTCTACTACATTGCCAACTATGTAATTTCTATTATGCATGGTTGCATTCAGTGGTATTGCGATATTCTGCACCCAATTCGCACCTGTACCGGGGCCAGCAGCAGAAAGAATGGCTTGCAGAATTTTCCTCATAGAAATGACAGTACTCGCAGTTTTCCCACAATGTTAATTATCTTTCATGATGGGTAAGCTCCACTAGTTGTTTTAAGGTCGAAAAGACGATGAATACGAATAAATGGTACGGTACGAATAAATGTTGAAGTCTGTTGATACGTTCAAAGTCACAAACTCAAAATACCTTATGTTGATCAAAAAGGTAGTATTTGTATCTTTATGCAGTGCAACATTTCATACAGCACAAGTTTGAGCAATCTTATGAAGCGCTCGTAAGAATTTCTCGCTGAGGGGCAAACGGAGTGATGAGATAACACCAGACCTTTTGGATAGCTAGTGTTTTCGATATATTAATCTCATAAAGATCAATCTATGGAAAACGTTGAAAGTCCTTGCAGGTCTTCTTCATTTTAGATAAAAAAATTTAGAACTGTCTTTCAAACAGTCTCACGCACTTCATCTATAAGTCTAGACAAAATCCTTTCACGCATCCAAAGCGCAAAATGTGCGCATCTCGTCGGATGGAGCAATGGGAGAAGCTGCCATGCGGCATCGGAGGTACCCTTTTGAAACACTCTTCAGTGATAAATTCGTTTGCCAGGAAAGCGCTAAGTTTTGGAATCCCCCACAGTAACAGAGCGCAAAATAAAGTAGGACATTTAAATGGCTGTGCTAGAATGAACAGTGCTGAAAGATGCTGCATTAACATATTAAACTATGATTTGCTATGTTTTTCTGACCCCTGCCCTATTCGTAGGAACTGACAAATTTTCTGCTTCAAACACAATAAGATAATCTTCCCTACGCCTGTCAGATTCTTTACTCGACATATCTACCAAGCACGGGGACGAGAAGGAAGTGCACTAGGATTTCCGATATTTGAAATGAAAAAAACTTCCAAACCGATTGAGAATAAGGACCAATTGGAGGCTTTACGCTTCCTCCGCGTAAGCACTCAATCGTCGCCGCAAGAAATCTTTGCTTAGGAAATGAACATGAAAGCAGATAAAATGAAATGATCTTTTATCAAATACGCTCTTTACACAATGCGATGCATGACATTGCGCATACAATTCTAATGAAAGTTTATATTGTTTACATGAAGGTTGCTCAAGTGTGACATTGTTGGTGCGACGTCGCAAAGCGCTAGGCTAAACAAAGCTGCCAAAGCTGCTGATATCAGACCCGTTTTGCTGAAGAATGGTTTTGAGGCTCAGACGCGAATTAGGCATGCAAAAACCGCAGCACAGCTGCTCAACAGCCAGCCATAGCAGCATATTCTGCGATTCGACAATTTTGTAGGTTGAGCCAGACTGCGCGGCCTGCACGGCATACGCGATGCACACATGCCTCATACCTTATGCAAATGTGCGTACGTTGCGTATGCCGCGCAATCTAGCCAGATCCGTAAAACCTACGTACTTGCATACATACTATCCACGGTAAGATGTTGCGATGCGACCTCACCTCTGTTCAACTGGCTTGGCGGCTAGAAGCTTTGTGACCTGATTGAGGCCGCTTCCGCCCGCTACGCAGTCTGTCTCTCTCGCGCGCGTGCTCTCTCACCAATATCTAGCCTCAACTGGGTCACGAAACCTCGCCTTCACGCCGCCAAGCCAGCTGAAGCAAAGGGTATACAGTGACCGCCAAAAAGTTGCGGACAAGTCGCCTTCATTCTTTCATCGCTCATTTTCAGATGGAAAACAAAGATGAAAAAATGTTTGGATTGCATGTGGTGATAGAGCTCTTCAAGAGCTACAATCCACATACGCGCTTTCCGGAAAACATGTCTTCTAAAAATTTTAAAAATCCTTCTATAAAAAAGGTCCAAAAATGGCCGTGTAACAATGTCGCGGACAATAATTCTTTGAACGCGAAAATCTTCTTTTAGGTCTTTTTTGCAGCAAAAACAAAAGTTCTCCGGACATGTAAGCATACTATATTGTAGAACTCATCGAGGACAATGATCGAGTAGTGGTTACTTCCAAAAAAACCTGAGCTTGAACTTTACTTTGCCTCTCTCCAAAAAATAACTTCTAATTCCCTGCTTCAAGCCAAATTTCTTTACAAGGATACCTATTCAGGACATTCCAACAGTGCTATTTGGACGAAACGGATGCCCTTTGCCATCTTCTATGCATCGGACGTGTGCTGGTGAGTTTCTTTGCTGAAAATAGCTTTTGACAGTGCGTGCACATGACCCCACCTGCACCTCACCACTGACTTGCACCGCTTTGCAGGCTTGTAGCTCGGCCGGCAGTCACTCTACAAACCTGCTCTCATTCGAAAGTGCTTGACTTCCTGGACAAGACGGTATGCAAAAGAGTTGGGTAGGAGAAACAGCGGATGGGGTGAAAAAGCGCAGCCTCAGTGGTAGGCTAAAGACTTCCAGCTAAAGTTGAACAGAGCTTCTTTCGCTACAAGTTTTATCCTGAAAGTGGAAAACTGTCAATGTTCTTCTAATAGATCCGTTTCGAAGCTTCAGGAATGTTCTGGTGTTGATAAGAGCCTCCACTCCAATCACCTCTGACGCTGCGCTTTTTTACCCCATCCGTAAAATTTCCGTGGCTTCCCAGGCTCAACTCATTTGCACACCACCGTGTCGAAGACGTCACCCTTCCGAATGAGCCTGCCTGCAGGCTCGCAGAATGACTGCTGACCGAGCTACAAGCCTGCAAAGCGGTGCAAGTCAGTGGTGAGGTGCAGGTGGGGTCATGTGCACGCACTGTCAAAAGCTATTTTCAGCAAAGAAACTCACCAGCACATGTCCGATGCGTAGAGGATGGCAAAGAACATCCACTTTCTTCGAATAGCTCTGTTGGAATGTCCTGAATAGGTATTCTTGTGAAGAAATTTGGCTTGAAGCAGGGAATTAGAAGTTATTTTTTGGAAAGAAGCAAAATAAAGTTCAAGCTCAGGTTTTTTGGAAGTAACCACTACTCGATCATTGTCCTCGATGAGTTCTACAATATAGTATGCTTACCTGTCCGGAAAGCTTCTGTTCTTGCTTCAAGAAAGGGCCTAAAACGAAATTTTCGCGTTCGAAGAATTGTTGTCCGCGACATTGGGACGCGGCTATTTGCCAAAAGGCGCACTATGTGAATTGTAGCTCTTGAAGAGCTCTATCACCACGCAATCAAAGCATTTTTTCATCTTTGTTTTCCATCTGAAAATGAGCGATGAAAAAATGAAGGCGACTTGTCTGCAACTTTTTGGCGGTCACTGTATATTAGGTTGGTGCAAAAATAATTTGAACCAAGGGTATATACTAGGTTGGTGCAAAATTAATGTCTGTTTTTAGCCTATTTTCCGCACAACTTCTGTCCATCAAACTTCCTTTTTCGACAAAGATTTAGCATATCATTGAAGGCTTTCTCAATGTACTTTTTGATATTGGCGCAATTACATCCTTATCTAGAAGTCCACCATCAAACCGGCACTCAATCGAAGTTTTATTGCTTTCTTTTTTTGGAAACAATTCAGGCGCAGATGAACGAATTCTTTTGAAAACATGGCTACTGTGTGGTATGAACATTGATTAACTAATGCATACTCGAGTAAATTTATCGATAATTTCTGGACTGAGAAATCGACACCATATAAATCTAACAATCTTTTGCGCCAAAAATTTCTCATGATTAAAGCAGTGGCCAAATTTGGGACTTCCAGGCCTACAACAAATAAGCTTAAAAAAGCAAACAATTTTATTTCTATCTTCTTCGCAGAATCCATTTCTTTTCTATATGCTATACATATACTACCGCCTTGCGGCTACAAAATAAGCTTATTTTCAGCCATACAGGGTGTCCCAAAAGAATGTGCCCACTGTTTGACTGTTAATAATTCTCTTCTAATGAAATCTTTCGATAAGCTTTGGGTACCATTTTGTAGAGCTGGCCTCAACTTGAATTCACAGTATAGAGCGAGTCGCCGATTACTCTTTATTACTGTAGGATTACGGTAGTTCAAGCATATGGTGTCAAGTGAAAAAAGCTGCCGTTCAAAAAAATATGAAAAATTGTGTAATAGGGTTTCCATGGGCGCTAAGTTCAATACTCAACTACGTAGAAGACTGCTAAGCTTCTTAAACGGTATAACCCGCCTTTTGCGAACATTGAAAAAAACGGCAGCTACAGCTCACCTCGCATAACTTTTTTATTAAAGCATCTGATAAGTTGCGAACTTTACATTTAGAGTCGGCAACTCTAATTAGCCCAGCGTAAAAGTTTTTAGTTTTTGTTTGCGTTCTTAGGCAAAATATGGCCTTTCATGGTTTAAAACCTTCTTCAAAGTTTCTACCGTAGTCCCACAGTAATGAATAGCGATCGGCAATCCGTTCCATACTGTAAATTCAAATTGAAGCCAACTCTACAAAATGATACTCTAAGCCTCTCGAAAGACTTCATCGCAAGTGAGTATTAACAATCAAACGGTAGGCACATTTTTTGGACATCCTGTATTGACAAAACTTAAAAGGAGTTGTAATTTTTCAAAAACGAAGTTTTCGAAAGGAAAGGTTTTAGTTTTTTTGACGCATAGTTTCCTTCCCGTTTGGGTATCAGTATGAGCAGGTGCGCGCTATTTAACGAAAGGTTTAATTTTGATGGTCTTTATACTTAAAAATTTGAAATGTGAGCAAAGTTATAGCTTTTCAGAATGAACTTTGCAAATGGACATTATTTTCGCACCAACCCACACGCACAACTGTCGTTCTAGAGTAGAATTCGTTAGATGCTGAGCAATGAAAACTGCAGCAGCTTGAAAAGATCATCTGCATTATCACTAAATCACGTCTTCTCAAAAATGGCAATAAACATACCAGTGTGGTTGAGATCTTGAAAACAGCTAGAAATAACTGGTAGTGTCGATTCCTCATCACTTATTGTTTGACTCAACATCCGCTGTTTTTCACATTTATCCGACACTAGCTGGCTTGCCCGGCTCCGCCGGGCCTGCCAGCTAGACCCGTGTACGTATGTTCCGAATAGAAATTTTTATCTCTGAACCGATTGGGACCGAACTTTGCACACATACACTTCGGGGCAGGGAGCGTGTCACAGCCCACTTTTCGTTATCGATCGATGTCGATTTTACCGATTTTTTGCAAAATTTGAGCTAGGGGGCTAGGATTTTGCACAGGGGGGTAATCGAGCATGCTGATCACCCCTTCGGGGTGATCAGCATGCTCGATTACCCCCCTCTGCCAAATCCCAGCCCTCTAGCTCGAATTTTGCAAAAAATCGGTAAAATCGATATCGATCGATAACGAAAAGTAGCCTATGACACGCTCCCTGCCCTGAAGTATATGTGTGCCAAGTTTGGTCCCGATCGGTTCAGAAATAAAAATTTGTATTCGGAACATACGTACATACATACAGACAGACATACAGACAGACAGACAAACAGACATTCAGCTTTATATATAAGATTCGTGGTCTGTCACAGAGATAGACCTAAATTTGCGCAATAAATAAGCATAAATTCTTATAAAATGGCTGATGCCGCATAGCAACGCGTTGTCACTTGCGTGATATCAGATGATGAGCTTCATATGTACTAATGATGAGGAAGTTTTCTCACCGCACATCCTGCCTCTTCATCTTCGTACCATTGATGGAGCGACATCTGGACGTTGACTATGACTTTGAAAGGCGCAAATTGGAGGAGAAGAATTTTTGGTTTGGGCACTTTTTGGTTTGCTGAAAATCATTTTTTTACGAAATAGCAGACAAATCACATCTTTCATGATTGCATTTGTATGCATTCTTGCAAAAATTCTGCAAAATTTTGTTCGGTTCCTTCAATGTTCTTTCGAATAATCGCCACAATCTCCAACACATGTATTTCATGTGCCACAAATCTAATTACTTCTTAAAGTTTTCGTTTTCGAGTTAAAAAAAAGCTTTAATAACAGTTGAATAGAGTATTTAAAATGCTACAAACCCGATTTTTGGCATCGTTGCTTACTTATCAATATTTTCAAAAGCAAGTTTCCCAAAGGCGTCATATTTTCGTAGTCGTAAAATATATAAACGCTTGAAACACTATGAAATCTTCGCAAATTGAAACTTCCAAAAATCGATTATGATCAAACAATAATTTTAACGAACAATAATGAAGACGGAGAACAGCAAGACAACAGGCCCGGACGACATCTCCAGCGAAATTTGGAAGAGGTGCGAATAAGCTGGAGTTAATTGGCTAACACAGCTTCTCAACCAGAGAGTCACAGTCAAGAAGATGCCGAGCGACTGGTCCAAAAGTACAACGATTCCAGTATGGAAGAAGAAAAGCGACATAGCTGATTGCTCCACTTAACTTCCATGTTTCCTCCTTTCTTAACCTCGGCATAGTTAGTTGTATTGTGGTGAGTAGTTAGTATGCCAGCACGAGGTTAGTAGATTTATTGTTAGTAGTGGCGGCCTAACGTTTCGACGATTTCGTCTTCTTCAGAGGCCTAAAGTGGTAGGAGATTTAGATCTTATGCTCTACCCCACCACAAACCTCCCCCACCCCTGGCCAGCCTCGATTCCACCCCCGAATGTTACAAAGAAAAATACGCAAGTACGCAAAAGACGAACTGACCTCCTCCGCCGCTGCCGCCCAGATGGATGTCGAATGCGGCCGTCCTCGAGTGCCACTAGTATGGAATACAGTGTATACCATATTGGTATTAATCAGTGGCATTCTTTAACTCACATAACGCCATAAAAGGCATAAAGTCATTCGTGATTGACGCGCACTCATTTCGGTTGTTCATGCAGGATCTCTTGCAAAAATCCAGAATGCCTCGAGAGCTTTTCTACTAGCAGTATCAGACTCGTATGCCAGTATAGTGCACGTAATTTCGAAGTCTTTACCACAATGGAATTCAACCCTATGTTTACCAAGCGGTGTGGTAAGGCTTCCCCGTCCTTTGCTGGCAAGATGTTCTTTTATTCTTACCCAAAGCGGTCTCCCAGTTTCTCCGATATAAGTGGCGCTGCACTCGACACATTCAATCTCATATATAACACCCGTTTTACCGCAGTCACCAACTTTACCGGATGGACAAACTACGCAGTCTTGGACTCTGCAGTAGTTGTCGTATAATCTGTTACGAACTAGCCGCTTTCTGATTTTATCACTAGGAATATCAACTAAAATGACATCGTCTTTCAAGTTCGCACGATCAATGCATCGCCGCACTGCAGCACTAGTCTCGTCAGAAACGAAAGGAAGGCAAAGAGGTACTTTCTGTTGGTGCTGATTGCTATGAGTGGAAATGGATGGTCTTCTGCGTCCTTTTTGGGGTGCGTAACCATTCATTCGAGCAATCTCCAGCGCCCTACTTTATGATTTATTCCGTTCTTCTTCTCCTGTGCATACGTTCGTTGCCGTTTTGAGCATGTTACGAATGACAGCTCTTTTAACAGCGATCGGATGTGCAGAACGAGCATTGATCAAGATATTCTTGGAACTCTCTTTACGATACCATTTCACGCTCTCAGCGCCGTTGAACAGTTTGATTTGTGCGTTGAGAAAGGGGAGCCAACCATTTTTCGGTTGCTGCCGCGTAAGCTTTATGTGCTGTGACTGTTGATTGAGTAGTCGAAAACACTCATCCATTTCGGATTGTGTTGATGTTATGACGCAACAGTTATCGATGTAACGACAATACATAAGAGGCATACGTGACAGCACCGGTTCTTCTATTCTGCTCATAAAGCAGATCGCCAGTACTGGAGCTAGTCTCTGCCCATTGCAAGACCTCTTAGTTGAGTATAGTATGTTCCTGACCACCGAAAGATGTTACAAGAAAGGCATTCTTGGATCAGGAGCATAACCGATCTTGTACTCAACCCGAAGGTCTGGATGTTGTTACCAAAGCTGTCCAACATTTCCGAAACTGCCTGCAGAGCATCATCATTTTGAACATTCGTATACAGAGACACGACGTCAAAAGATTCTGCTATACATTGCGTTTGCAAAGTAGTGCTGCGAAGGCGTTCCAAGAAATGATTCGTATTGGTTAAATGAGACGGAACTTTGTCCAGAAGCTGATTAACAATCTTATTCAAGAACCAGGAAATTCGGTCGGTTGGTCCTCCTACACAACTTATGATCGGTCTTATTTTCAACTGTTCTGCCGTCAAAATGCGCGCGTCATCAGTAGCGGTTAGGTTATGGGTTTTAACAAGACTAATATAATAATAAGATTGTTAACCAGCTTCTGGACAAAGTTCCGTCTCATTTAACCAATACGAATCATTTCTTGGAACGCCTTCGCAGCACTAGTTTGCAAACGCAATGTATAGCAGAATCTTTTGACGTCGTGTCTCTGACACGAATGTTCAAATTGATGATGCTCTGCAGGCAGTTTCGGAAATGTTGGACAGCTTTGGTAACAACATCCAGATCTTCGGGTTGAGTACAAGATCGGTTATGCTCCTGATCCAAGAATGCCTTTCTTGTAACATCTTTCGGTGGTCAGGAACATAATACTATACTCAACTAAGAGGTCTTGCAATGGGACAGAGACTAGCTCCAGTACTGGCGATCTGCTTTATGAGCAGAATAGAAGAATCGGTGCTGTCACGTATGCCTCTTATGTATTGTCGTTACATCGATGACTGTTGCGTCATAACATCAACACAATCCGAAATGGATGAGTGTTTTCGACTACTCAATCAACAGTCACAGCACATAAAGCTAAGCGGCAGCAACCGAAAAATGGTTGGCTCCCCTTTCTCAACGTACAAATCAAAATGTTCAACGGCGCTGCGAGTGTGAAATGGTATCGTAAAGAGAGTTCCAAGAATATCTTGATCAATGCTCGTTCTGCACATCCGATCGCTGTTAAAAGAGCTGTCATTCGTAACATGCTCAAAACGGCAACGAACGTATGCACAGGAGAAGAAGAACGGAAGGAATCACAAAGTAGGGCGCTGGAGATTGCTCGAATGAATGGTTACGCACCCCAAAAAGGACGCAGAAGACCATCCATTTCCACTCATAGCAATCAGCACCAACAGAAAGTACCTCTTTGCCTTCCTTTCGTTTCTGACGAGACTAGTGCTGCAGTGCGGCGATGCATTGATCGTGCGAACTTGAAAGACGATGTCATTTTAGTTGATATTCCTAGTGATAACATCAGAAAGCGGCTAGTTCGTAACAGATTATACGACAACTACTGCAGAGTCCAAGACTGCGTAGTTTGTCCATCCGGTAAAGTTGGTGACTGCGGTAAAACGGGTGTTATATATGAGATTGAATGTGTCGAGTGCAGCGCCACTTATATCGGAGAAACTGGGAGACCGCTTTGGGTAAGAATAAAAGAACATCTTGCCAGCAAAGGACGGGGAAGTCTTACCACACCGCTTGGTAAACATAGGGTTGAATTCCATTGTGGTAAAGACTTCAAAATTACGTGCACTATACTGGCATACGAGTCTGATACTGCTAGTAGAAAAGCTCTCGAGGCATTCTGGATTTTTGCAAGAGATCCTGCATGAACAACCGAAATGAGTGCGCGTCAATCACGAATGACTTTATGCCTTTTATGGCGTTATGTGAGTTAAAGAATGCCACTGATTAATACCAATATGGTATACACTGTATTCCATACTAGTGGCACTCGAGGACGGCCGCATTCAACATCCATCTGGGCGGCAGCGGCGGAGGAGGTCAGTTCGTCTTTTGCGTACTTGCGTATTTTTCTTTGTAACATTCGGGGGTGGAATCGAGGCTGGCCAGGGGTGGAGGAGGTTTGTGGTGGGGTAGAGCATAAGATCTAAATCTCCTACCACTTTAGGCCTCTGAAGAAGACGAAATCGTCGAAACGTTAGGCCGCCACTACTAACAATAAATCTACTAACCTCGTGCTGGCATACTAACTACTCACCACAATACAGCTCCACTTAACGTCCCATACGTCTATGAGCCACACGCTGGAAAACTTCGAACGAGTACTAGAAACGAGACTTCGAAGCATCATAGAACTGGCACCCAACGGATTTGTGAAAGGCTGCAGCAAAACATATGCAATCCATGACGCCAAAATAATAGTAGAAAGAAGTAGAGAGAAGCAATGAACTGCATGCAGCGTTCCTCGATCTTGAGAAGACGTTCGATAAGGTAGCGCACGACATTATATGGTGGACATTACGAAAGCATTAGGTACCAGAAGAATATGTGCAAAGGACGAAGATGATCTACAGGGACGTGACCAGCCACGTACAGAAGCAGCGGGATGTCAAAAGAATTCCAGTCACTTGCAGGAGTACATCAAAGCTCTATACTGTCACCGCTACTATTCATCACCGTCATGGATGCAGTAGTCGACGGTTTCATACAACAACCACCATGGGCACTCATGTACGCAGATGATGTCCTCCTAGTGGCAAAAAGCAAGAAAGAACTTCAGATGCAAGTATAAAGATGGAAAGATCAACTGGAGGTACATGAACTAAATCTGAACACGGCGAAAACGGAATATATCGAACTGAGACCAGACAACAGGAACTATCCAGATTGGAAACACTTTACTCAAGAAGACAACTTTTTTCCAGTATCGGCGAAACCGATCCTCCGCAGATGGCAGCCCCACGACGAGTTATGTAGCAGGATGAATGCAGCTTGGATGACTTAGCATGACTCTTACACGAAGCCCTGCGATAAAGTGCTAATTCCAAATTGGAAATAAGCAGGGTCAAGCAAGATGTGTGGCACACGATCACTGGTTAAGACTCCCCCCCCCCCCCTCTCATTGCTGTCTCAATAAGACCCCCTAAACTATATACCTAAGATAGCATTACTTGAAGGTCCTGTCAAACATAGCAACATATCAATAATTAGCATGTCAATTAACCCCTGCAGACAATGTTTGAGCGAATTCTGAAGTTTTAAGATACTGGATCACCTAAGGAAATCGCCATTTTCAGGAAATCGCCATTTTCCAGCATTATTAACTTTGTTTAAAAGGTGAAGTATTTTAGTTTTTTTGGCCATTTTCGCACTTAAGCTAAAGCACTACTCCTTCTTTGGCCACCCCGGAAATCTCGCTTCAATAGATCTTCTAACTTCGGAGTTAGAAGCCAACCAAAATCTTGTTTTTCCTATTTTTCGCTTTTAATGGCTATGGTTTCACCAAATATTACTCAGAGCTAAGAAGACGAATCAGGCCCAAGTCACTCCTATGAAATCTACGAGGTTTAGGCTATCGATTCATAAAAATAGCGTTCGCTAAAAACGTTTTTCTATGTAGTTAATGGGGTGTGGCTACATTCCTTAAAAGCTGTGGCTGCCAGAGCTTTCTAGGGGTGACGCCACAGCCCATTAACTTACCTTCAAACAAAATAGCTGCGTTTTTTATACTATTGTGACTGTTTAACTTCTTTCCATAGCAGAAATTACATATGAAAACGTTTATTTAAGAGCAAGATGCAATCGTTTTTCCTTACCTATGCAAATGTAAAATACTGGTAAAATACTGAGAAAATATTGGGATACGGTAACATAACTAAGACTGCGCTACTATGTGAATCGCAAGGGAAGGCGAATGTATATATTCGATAGTTTAAGCCTCGTAATGTACATTAAAGTGATTTAAGCCTGATTGGTCTTCTCTAACCTGAGGTATTGAAAACGAAAAATGGAACAAACAAGATTTTTAGATTGCTCTTAATTCCTTAATTTGGAGGTCATATAAAGTGGATTCCTAATATGAACAAAGAAGTAGTAGTTTTTTGTATTAAGTGCAAAAAGAAGTAGTCATCTTATTTTTGAAACAAAGTGACGTGTTTAAAAACGACCATCTCACTTAGGTGGTCTTGTACTTGGAAAGCTCAGAATTCGCTGAAACTTGGACCACAAAGGTTATTTTACTTGCTAAGTACAAAACGAAGTTCTTAGCTTTATAGATCTTTAATTACGCTTACGTACGTATAATTATGCTTATGTACTGTACAATATTGGGTCAAACAGTGTGCTGGTATTTTGCATGACGGGGTTATTTGACATTGTTAACGAATATCATGTTATGCGAACAGCGGAGGCGGACGCCTTGATAACGACCTCCCCCTCCCCCCTTCCTGATTCCTCATAAGACCCCCCAGGTGTGGCATGGAACATCCCACCCCTGACCCCGGAAATAAGCGAGCTGATCAACCAAGATGTAGGAGTTTTTGGGTTATTTGGTTTCCATTTTGTGTCAAAATATCGTTCTTGATGGTTCGAAATTGTCAAAATTTTCTATCGCAGTCCTAAAGTAATAAAAGTAGGTTATTTACTACATAATATGGATGTATATTAGAGCCATCTTTACGGAATGAGCTTATGAGCTTTGATGGCAAATAAAGCATACTTTTGAGACAACCTATATGCATATCTTCTAGAGCGCTAGATCAAGTTAGGTGCCTCCCCTCTGAGGCCCCGGTCAGACTTCACGCGATTTAATCGTCGCGATCTAATCGCCAAGATTTCCATTCATTTTCATTTCACATTCAAAAATGTCGGGCTGGAAAATTATACAACCGAATGCAAGTTGATCGGCATGGAATGGTGTTGTAACAGTTGTCTCGTCGCGAGTGAGTCGCGACGATCAAATCGCGTGAAGTCTGCCCGGGGCCTAAGCACTCATGGCAAACCTTCACAATCTGATTCTTCTGTAGTGACAAATGACGTCGTATTGTCTTCGTAGACTGTGGTTAGGGCGTAGAATGAGTGGTTTAAGAGAAGAGTGCGACAGTGATCTATCTAAAAGAATTCAACTGATGCAATTTAGGGCGCAAATTTAGTTACCACATAAATTGATCCTCGAGCTCTAGTGCTATTTTCCAATAGCGTTTTTGCATATGTTTCAACATGTAAGGGCTGAAGAATTCGTTTCAATAAAAGTTTCCAAACTGGTAGAATACAAAAAGATAAGTATAATTAGTGCAATTTAGAACAAGTCAATGACAAACTCGAAAGTCAGTTATGGCATATCAAGACAAATGTTAGAGTAACACTTTCGTTTGGGGCATCAGTGCATGCATAAATTAAAATAAATGAGTAAATAGCTTTTTTTCCTTATTCTAACATCTCATTTAGATTTAGGTTCTTTAGCGTGCATTTGGAAGAGTTGTTAGTTTACGTTGCTAAAAGCTCAATCTAATCTGGCAAATTTTGCATAAAGTCTGTCGGTCGACCAAAAAAGTAGTAAATCAGATAAAGCTCATTCGTGAATAGTAAATAAAACTAGTCGTCCTTGAAAGGCCTCAGTTTCTTTCAAAATTTCTGGAAGCCAATTACAGATATGAACAGCCTGCGGTAAGGGAGATTTTCGAAGGTAAGAGTTCGTAATCGTTCTCTTTACAACTGAGATTGAGAAGAAATGAATCAAGTTGAAAACGGCGATAGAATAAGAATAACAAGTATATAAAAACAGACATTCTCGACAACAAATTGGCCATATTTTAAGATTTTGAAATTTATATTACCATATAGTATTCCTCTAACGTGACTGATTTCACAAAGTTCTCAGGGAGCGGATAACCGTTTTTCAACTCATGGAACCAGCGCAGCATGAGCATATTGAAGTCTTTCGAATGTTTTCCAATCTTCTCGAAATGAACATTAACATTTGCCTGAAGAAAAGTAGGTAAATGTCGTGATTTCACTGCCCAAAGGACTTGAAGGCACTCTCTTAAGATGTTTGTGCATGAATGGCGTGTCATTCAGGCAGGTACAAGCCTACAGAACCGATATTGGGGCAGTATCGGTAAGATTTTCTAAATAACAACAATTTATGGACCAGAAATCTTTTTCAAACTTATGAAATCTATGCAGCATGGCACATTGAAGTCCAAATCAACACTTCGAGGACAAGAGAATTGTGACATGATAAACTCGCATGCCTTAAGAATGCGAAGTCTCAGTCTAATGATAGTATGATGCGGACTTCAATCCATGAGTTTATTAGCTTGAATTTTGAAATGACGAATTTAAGGATATTGAGGGGGACGAACGGGAAGCGAAGCCATGATCCGGTGTGATCGAGGTTTGTTCCTCGCCTTTCGGCCAACCGAGCTTTCTACTTCCTAGGACGGTCGTTTTGTATTGAAATAGTATGTGAGGATAAAACTGAAGTGGTAACCAGCTATCTACAGCAGTAGTTGGCATGCATTCAGGACTCATATCCGCGAAAGTCCATAATGGAGGAAAATGGACTTACTTAGTCCATTTTATTCGTTCGCGTTAGAAAGTGGTCGAAATCGGCTCCCGCTTACGATATCCAAAATTTTTCATCCCATCGCACCCGCGAGGCAAAGCGGTGAAATGATAATGATTCAAGCTTACTTGAGCTATCGCTCGCGGAAGATGACGTCAAAAGTCCATTTTAGAATGGGGCAAAATGGAGTTCACCTCCATGTTTATTCTCTCACACCTTTGTGATAAGCCCATTTTACTCCCAGCAGCCAGATGTGCTGGGACTAAGCCCATTTTTGACCTTCTTGCATATTTTTGATCGCGATTTTTTGAGAATATGTTCCCTAGCCCATTTTAAGATACTAAGCGAACGGAGAAAGTTTTATCTTCTTTGGAAGGGCCAAAAAACTAGCTTTTCAAAACAGCCTTGAAATGCTTTGAAAATCATAGAAAGAATTTTTTTCGTAGACAGTTGAGACAGACAGACAGACACAAATACTTCAAATCAAAATCCGCGATTTTGAGTTTGGTAGCAAGAAGTATTGAAGTACCGCTAGCAAGTCAGAATATTCTGTGAAAAATTTCTTACTAGCTATAGTCTATACATTAGTCACTTCTTGCTCTCGTATGGAAATATTGAAAAAATCGCGTACCAAAATTAAACAAGTCATTTTATAAAGAAAATCTTCTCTACGTCATTTTGTCACCGAAAACACTTTTCAATACCCAAAACGACGAAGCCTCTGTCTTGTTTTCGATTATAGAGCATCACATTAGGGTTGAGAAAAAAGGTTACCTGATTGGTACTGGATTATGCGAGAGCTTTTCCAACAACCGGTTAAATTGAATTCTGTTCAAAATCTATAATAAGGTTGCCAATAGCAAAAGGCATTGGTTCAAGCATTCCCTATATGCTGATCAAGACGGATATAAGTCCGCTTTGCTTCAGTTGTTCGTAGCACTTCCCCTAAGCAACTTTGATTATCAAAAGCACATATGACTTGGGATCAGAGTATATGCCTAGATAAGTTCTAAACGCAAGATTGAATTTAGTGGCTTTGTCATCATTCTAGTATCCCCCCTCAAACTCACACAGTTGATGCAAGAAAAACAGCTTCATATATCAAACGCCATATTTGCATGAAAGTTCTGGGGTTACTAAAGTACAGCATGAAAAGCCATCAATTTTTTGCAGATCCAAAGTTTTTCCAGCATAAAAGCCTTTGTGTTTTAGTGTAGTACAAGGTTTTCTGTGAGATAAGCATTTTGATTCACAAATTGCAATGCAAGTCTAGCCAAAGTTTGCTTTCTGCTGGAAACTCCACATACGAATTTGATTCAATGCAGATTCATAGAAGTTTTGAAGAGCGAATGCCCTGATATTACTTGGATTTTAGATGGACTAAAACTAATTTAGATGCATAGTCATAGTCAATAAATGGCTTTCTATGAGGTGTAATGAAATGGAAAAGAACGGAGTATCCACGTGGCTGATATAGTAAAGTTAGATCAGCCTAGATATCGACCACTTGGTGGGAATGAGTTTGCAAGAGTGAGTAAACAGGTTGAGGCAAGTTGAAGAAAGGTTTGCTTAAGCATTTTTGTATGGAATGAATGGATTCGCAAACGCGATATCTTATCGCACCGCAGGGACTAAGAACATTTTATTCGCGTTTCATTCGCGAAAAGCCCATTTTTAAATGGACTTTCGTGGATATCATTCCAGGAGCCTCATTGACTATGAATCGGAGTGCGCGCATGCCCCACCATATGAAAAACCGAGTCGTTTTTTTTTTCAATAAATATGGAAGTGATTACTTTTAGCGGTGTGAATGCAAGACTGAAAAATTGGAGACAGTTTCGTACCGCTTTCTTCCTTTTTGCTAGAGCCTCGCATGCCTTGGCCATAAAGTGCTTTCAACAACTTCCCTTTACTTTGCAAATTAAAGCTGATTGTCTAAGAATGTTTCCATTTGTGGTCTCCAACTAAACTGAGTGGCGTCTTATGAAGTTAAGTTCTATATTCATCACTGTAACTGCTAACAAAAATGAGTTTAACCTGGTGGAGACTTCTTAGTTTGGTCCAAGGGAACAGTCATGTAGTTCATTTTCTTACTTCCCTGTTCCATAGTTTTGTAGAACCGAATGAACTGTGAGGTTCATAAAGATGTGAGGCCCCAGAAGATCATCTTAGCAACAACTATTAGGTTGTAAAGAAAGTTCCTGGGCACTTGCGAAATTTTTCTTCAACACATTCACGAAAAGGCCGATTTTTCGATGACTCGAAGTGGACGGTCTTCTCATTAAAGGCAGCGTCCAGGCAGATCTGGACCTATGAGGCTTTCACGTGGACAGTAATTTTGGGCCCTAACTAAGGCACTGCCCATGTGGCAGCGCAGGTGATTCCCTAACGGCCAGGATATACGCCTCCAAACTGGACCCCAGGATCGTATTTCGCATCATGGCGCAACCATCAGTTTCGCGCGAGGACCCACGCATTGCGCCATAAGTCCATGCGAAATACGATTCTGGGATCCATTTCAAGGGGGATAATTTATCTCAGCCGTTAGAGCACTACCTGAGCTGCCGGTTGGGCAGTGGCTTAGTTAGGACCCCAAAATCACTATCCACGTGAAATCCCCACGTGTCCAGATTTACCTGGACGCTACCTTTGAGAGTGATCAGCCCTTATATGCTTGTTTGTTCACTGCGAAAAAATGGCAGCGGAAAGAAAAATTGTGAGATTTTTATGGCTGTACAGACTTATTTTATCGGTGTGTAGGCGAATTACGGTTTTACATTAATGGAGATTGGTTGCAACTTCAAAAAGCTTGGGCTTTCTTCTACAAAACCCTTCAAAATGCTTGTCTTGATTGAACCGAATGCGAAAAAAATTAGTTTGAGAATGAAATTTTTGAAACTGCTCGGGAACTTTCTTTACAACATGATAGTAACCGACCATTACAACCATGTTCACAAAACAACACATTTCATGAAGGTTTCGACCAAATCACTATTATTCCTAATTTCTCTAAATAGGTTTCATTCTCGCTGATTCTAGTAAATGACTTCATACATGTTTTTGGAGTAGTTTGTGTGACATAAATAGACTTCCAAAGTCACTGTAAATTCGCTATCACGGTATACCCGTCTTAAATTACAGATTAAAGAATACGCTAGGAAGAGCTTACATATGGGAATAATGGTACTGACCGACTTGGCAATCACTTTTGTCGCTGTATGTTGTTTTTGTTTTATGTTTTGCTCTCGTTGGTTCAAAACTCTTTAGAAAATCCTTACTATAATTTCGCTTTAGAGGCAGTGTCCCGGCAAAATCTCGCTCTCCGGTTTTTCACCTTTCGGAACCTCCTCGTCATGCTGAACCCATATCTGGGCTTCGCAGCGCATAATAGCGAATTGTTCTCTTTTCGAAGCTTTTTCTTCCCGCACTTGCTGCAAAATACGTGTGAGTGAGCGGGGTCTAGAACGAAGGGCGGGGTCCGTATGACTTCCAAAGTCGATTTCAGGCTTCCTAAACGCCCCTTCTCGTTCCAAACTTCACTAGTAGATTGGTTGTGGGGCCTGCCACTGCAACGCTGCAAAATCCCGGTACCCATTTTTTGCCGCGACGCTGCCTTCAGTGAGGAGCGAAGGGTAATCACTTGATCACTTAAATCCAAGTCGAATTGAACCTTACAATACGATACTAAAAGATCTGCAGAGGCTTACCATACAAGAATGTTATTTGCGATTGAACAGATATATTCAGGACACAATTTTGTTTTCGTAGTTTCGCATTTTGATTTGAGAGAAAATGGGAACACTTTAATAAAGCGAATACGCCTTTTTCATGCAGCTCAAAATCCGCAAAGCCCTAGCTTGTTCAAGATGCAGTGACACCTTGTCGAGCGTTGCAAAAAAAGGAACTGTAGGTGTTGTTGAGAAGGTCTCTATTTAAAAGATAGCGTACCACCGATACATTGAAGGGTACCAAATAGCTGTGGTTTCGTGCGGAATCCTTGTAGCGTCTGACAAGCGTGGGCGCATGAAAGAATATCCATGGATGGAAATAAGGTACAAGTTTTTTGGGAGAACAGCCAATAGTCAGAAAATACTTGCCTGAAACATTCAAGTCAAAGTGAAATGGAAAACATGTATATTTACAAAATTTTATATCATAATAGCTTTTTTGTTAAATGTGTTATCTGTTTCGAAAGAAAATTGAATTTGGCTTGACATCTAACAAGTGAGATTCGATTACAAGAACTTGAAGGCGACTACTTCTGGTTTCAATAGCGCTTCTGTCTCAACATTTCTTGCAAAATTTACCATTATATGAGGTGGGGGTGGAATCACAATGCCGAAAGTACTTGTACAGCTAAAGATCAGCACAAATTTTTCCTGCAAGCATTTTTTTCTAACCTCTTTGAAATCTCTCTGAATCCGTCAAGTTCATTGGACATTTTAGCGTAGAAATCCGTCTTTTGCATGTAAGAATCTTTCATGTTGGACTTTCTATGAATCTTGGCATATTGTTATAAATGTTGTTGTTGCTGTAGCTGGCACCAAGATTGTTGAACCGTCTATCTGGCTAACATTTTGGGCTTAGTCGCCTTCGTCAGAGCCTATAAAGCATAGAACATTTGCATTTATCCTACCAAACATCTCATAACTTGCAGAAAAATCTGGAAAGTGGACTAGGCTCCCGTCTAAACCTAGAGCATAGCTCACCTTAGTTGATAAAAGACCACGCTGGTTGGTATACGATGTGTTCTAAATGAGGTCGGACTCCGGAGGTTGAGATCGAAATCGAAGCTTGCAGAAATCCAGGAGCGGCGCGAGCTAGGTGTTACGATGCATCCATCCTTTCGATTTATTTCAGCGTTTTTGGATGAAATCCAGCATGCCTCAAAAGTCTCTGGCGCTGAATCAGACTCCCTAGTATGCTGAGTGAATATTGGACTCTGCGTTTTGGTGACACAGCATACGGTGGGTGCCCAAGGGAGTTGACAATCGTGAATTTTGTAACCCATCCATGCGCTCCTTGTTTTGACGCATAGCGGCCTTCTCGTCTCTCCCATAGATAAATAGTTCCTGAGCACATACAGTTCCCATGCCTGTTTGTCTCGCAAATGACAATTTGTGCTGTTGCATGCTCTATCGTGTGTTATTTTCGCACTAAACGCTGTTTTGAGCTTTCGCCGTTCCCGGATTTATGCAAGTTTTGATCTCAACCTCCGGGGGCCGACCTCACATCGCACAGCGCATACCAGCCAGCGGTGATCCCTAACGAACTTTATCGGCTAAGGTGAGCTACGTTCTAGGTATAGACAGGAGTCTAGTCCACTCCCAGATTTTTCCTGCAAGTGATGAGATGTTGATGGGATGAATCTAAAGTTTTATGCTTTATAGGCTCTGATGAAGGCGACTAAGCCAAAACGTTAGCCGAATAAACGGTTAAACAATGTTGGTGCCGGCTACAGCAACAGCAGCATACCACATAAGAATGAATATGAACCAATTACTGTCATGTATCAAACGTGGAGGCTTGGTTTGTATCACTACACGACTGACGTGCTTTGGCTGGGTGGAAACATATCGTCCCTATTTCACCATTTACCCAAAACAATGCAAAAAGCGAAACGTCAGATTTTTATTGATTGCCTAAATATGGAAAACCCAGTCTGAAGAGTCACCTGCTCAGATAATCGCCGGGTGCAAGCGGTCCGCAAACTCGCACTTTTCTGCAAGCGGTCAACAGAATTTTGGGGCGTGGCCAAACCTTCAGCGAGCGGTACTTTCTTTACTGTCTAATGTTCTGCTAGCGGGAAGCAACACAAAATTTTTTGCAGGCGCTCGTCGAATAATCACTCTCAGCAAAGCTGACCGAACCTTCAGCAGGCGCTCGGACTCTTACTGCAGTTTCGGGCTTACATCAAGCACGGATAAGACTCTGTGTGGCAGAAATGTCACCGTTGGTTTAATTACTAAAGTTTGAGGAACTTTCTCTCAGCGGAAAGTACCTGAGGGCTGCGCGGTCTTCCACAAAGGACCGTGCTGCCCTTGAAAATTTTGCATATTCTCGCGGAAAGTCCGCGAGAATGCGGCCACTGCGCCGCAGTTAATCTATAAGGAAACCGCGATTGTTCTCCGAGCATTGGTCTAAAATTTCGCCAAGATTTTTCTAGATATCTGCAAGCAAACCGCATGAAATCAGCGAACTATTTTTCCGGTGCCCGCCTGCCCAATCGCATGGCCGCCTCCCCTGGCGATTATCTGAGTGAAAGCTAGAAATATACCAGTCTTAAGCGAGCTCTGCCGGAACATTCTTTAGCGAGAACCTATAAATATTAGTCTGGCGAGAATGTTTTTGCATAATATAAACGAAAATCCATAACTTTTCAAGTTCTGAACTTAAATTCATAGTTCAGTATCCCAAAGACATTGCAAGGCCTGCACTTTTTATAGATGTTCAGGCTTAACGTTTTACAAGTTAGCCACAGGAAAGAAGAGGTTTCAAATATGACATTTAATTCTTCGACTCTGAGTTTAATACTAGAAAATCACGTAGGGCCGATAGATAGCCCAAAGAATGACATCTTACACACCAAAAGCCCATATATTACTTTAAAAAACTTCAATCTCTTATGGAAATGTATAAGCAAACTCCATCGTTGCACTTTTCAAACAGAAACAGTTTTTAGAGAAAAAATCGAACCTATTGCCTATCTAGAGCACTGTGACTTTTTGAAGCTTTAAACAGTGTTCTGGCCTGAAAATGCAGTAAAACTATTCGAACGCTAAAAAAAGCATTGTACTTGCAACTGTCGCTAAGGCTTGTGTATCGTTTGTGTTTTTGTTAGAGAACGGTTGTTAAAGGCAGTGTCCCGCCAATATTGGGGTAAAGCGGGTCTTCACATATTTCGTTAGAGTACACCCTGAACAAACGAACGCTCCAAATCCGAATCGATACGATTCCTTCTACGCCGATAAATTTGCCCCTTTGCCCATACACACATAAACACACATACACACAACACATACATACATACAATACACACCAGTGGCGTACCGAGGAGGGCGGGGGGGGGAGCGCGCGCCCCCCCTCCGAGAATGGGTCGCGAAATTTTTGAGAGTTACTTATACGGGTTATAAAAATGTGCAAGCAACTTGTTTATAATTGTAAATAATTAAAATACAATACCGCTCACAGAATGTGCAAAATTTCCCTGAATATCGCAAAATTCCGAAAATTCCGCGAAATTCCTGGAATTTCGCGAAACTTCGCGAACTTTCAGGAGTTACGCGAAATTCCGGAAAGTTCGCGGAATTTTCGGAATTTCGCGACATTCACGGAAATTTTGCAAGTTATGTGAGTGGTATTGTAGAATGCAAGAAGATGCCCAACGATTGTTACAAGAGCGCAACGATACCAGTATGGAAGAACAAGAGGGATATAACAGACTGCTCTACATACAATACCGCTCACAATTCGTCAAAAAAGTCGCCGGACTGCGGCGGAGTGCGCTAGAGTGCGTCGGAGTGTGGCGGAGTGTGGCGCAGTGCGCCGGAGTGCGTCAGAGTGTGGCGGAGTGCAGCGCAGTGCGCCGGAGTGCGGCGGAGTGTGGCGGAGTGCGCCGCACTCCGGCGACTTTTTTGACGAATTATGATCGGTATTGTATATGGAGTGAGTGAAAGGAAATACACATATATTAGGTGTATAATAACATCAAAAGTGGGCGGGGCTTACAGTTCACAGCTCAACAGCGATAAAATCGATATTTTGAGGTTAGAGAACTATCAAAATCTGCAAAAATCGATAAAATCGATATTCTGGGGGTTTCGAAATCCCGAAAATTGGCAAAAATCGATAAAATCGATATTTCTCAAACTCCATAACCTCAAAAATCGTTAAAATCGATATTCTGAAAGTTGCGAAATTCCGAAAATCGATAAAATCGGAGATTTGAAGAATTTGGAGATTTCGCAACCTCAAAAACTTCGATTTTGCCAGTTTTGGAGATTTACACCCTCACCTTTAGACCCCAAGGCTCCATCCACTTCACGAGACTCCGCCCACTCAACCGCAAGACCCGCCCACTTCTTTTCAGACAGCCACGACTTCCCCATTGTGAGCACCATCAAATCCCCATCAACCACTGCAAAACTGTTAAACCACCGACCAAAGCCCCGCCCACTTTACCCAAACACCTTCAAATGAAGCTCTACCCCCTCTTCCTCCCAACTCTACAAAATTAGCGAAAAATTAAGCGAAAGATTTGAAAAAGCGAAAAATAACCTCACTTTCAGCGCTTTTACACAGCTAAAACTCCTCCAAACAAGCTCCGCCCACTTTATACCCCCACATCACGATCGAAATTGAAGAAAATAAGAAAAATTAAGAAAAAATGAGGAAAAATAAGGAAAAATCGCGTTTTTCTAAGCTTATTTACCCCTTTCTAGCCGGTTTCAGCCCCCTGACCAGGTCCAGATGGCCGCGGGTAACTATCACACGCGCTGCGCAAATAAAGAGAGGGTAAAAATGAGGGGGGAGAAAAGTGAGAAATTGCGAGACCCTGAACTAAAAAAAGTCCGGGAAGGTTAATAGATGGGCTCCCACAGGCGGAGCCCCTGCATTTTCTCCGAATTATATGTGGTGTTCCCCTCGAATACGAATAGAAGAACGGCTATCCCAGCCCGTCATCCCCACTCTCCACGGAGATAAAATTCAAAATATGCATCATCGCCTTTATATAGCGCCTCCTACGTTGAAGCTATGGGCATGAGCTACGCCTAGAAAAATGGAGCTACCAAAACTACACGTTAATAACCGTATGAGATTACATCAGCCCTGCAACTCTTAGAAATATAAGCGCGCAAAATCGCCCTTTTTGACAGATTTCCCAACTTCGACTGTCAATTAGGCACTTTTCTTGGAAACTTGTTATCCTACAACCTTTTCTCTGAAAATCGTATTTTCAGAGATCTGTCCAACAAAACAAATACTAGCCCCATACCTGTAATATTCGCAGAGTTATTAGCCCCCCAACATGCAAGCTCAGGCCGTAAAATTGGCTCCCCCAAAGTTGCTCCGTAATTCCCCCAAAAATCACGTTAGA